AAAGTGACTTAGGATATAGTGGGGAAAGCCAAGAACTAAATTGATGTATATCACAGAATCTTCCAAAGGCTCAGGAACTAAGTGGACTTTTGGAAGTGGGGGGAGGGGGGCAGGGTAAGAAGGGATATTAAATAAGGACTGATAGAATGCAGTTTTAAAATACATTCCCAATCTCCCAATTCCTCCCACCCCCCCTTCCCCCTTGGTATCCGTACATTTGTTCTCTACGTCTGTGTCTCTATTTCTGCTTTGCAAATAAGATCATCTATAACATTTTTCTAGATTCCACATATATGCGTTAATATACGATATTTGTTTTTCTCTTTCTGACTTACTTCACTCTGTATGACACTCTCTAGGTCCATCCACGTCTATACAAATGACCCAATTTTGTTCCCTTTTATGGCTGAGATACATATACACTATTTATACTATGTATAAAATAGATAATTAATGAGAACATACTGTACAGCACTGGGAACTCTTCTTAATGCACTGTGGTGACATAAATGGGAAGGAAATCCAAAAAAGAGGGGATATATTTATATGTATAGCTGATTCATTTTGCGGTACAATAGAAACTAACACAACATTGTAAAGCAACTACACTCCAATAAAAATTAATTAAAAAAAATAAAGTACATTCCCCACCCCTTGAGTGTGGGCTGAGCTTAGCGACTTTCTTCTAAAGACTAGGGTATGGAAAGAGAGACACAGGTAACGAGAGAACCCAGAGACACAACCTTAGCCACGTGAGCACTCAAGTTTAAGATCACAAGTCACAAGTCATGTTGGTGTCATGTTCTCCTGATACGATGCAGTGAAAAGGGCAGTTCATCTCTGTGGCATTCTTCCCCCAAATCCATATTCCTGATGTAAATCATGATAAACCCAAACATCAGGCAAACCCAAAGAGAGGGGCAGCCTACAATACCTGACCAGTACTCTTCAAAATTGCCAAGGTCACAAAAGACAAGGAAAGACCAAAAAACTGTCACAGCTTGGAGACTAAGAGATCATGATGATTGAATGCAGTGTAATATCCTGAAACAGAGAAGGGCATCAGTGAAAAAACTGGTAAACTCCAAATAAAGTCTGTGGTTTTGTCAACAGTATTGTACTCATGTTAATTTCTTAGTTTTGGTAAATGCAGCTTGATTATGGAAGATGTTACCTTTTGGGGAAGCTTGGGGAAGTGTGTACAGGTACTCTGTACTATCTTTGCAACTTTTCTGTGAATCTAAAATTTCAAAATAGAAAGATATAAAAATATAAAATGGAGAAAAGGAGATAGAGCTCTACTTCCCCTCCCTCATGGCATTAACTCTTCCTGCAGAAGACTGCAACTGGTAAATGCAGAATGACTGAACAGCTGTGGTGCAGGTACCCTACTGGGAAACAGGAGCAGGACCTAAGCTGTGCACACTGAATGATAAGACCCAACGCCAGCCTTAGAACTGAGTGCCTGGGCCCCACTTGTTAGAGAGCCCTATGAATCAGAGAGATGGAGAGAATAAATTCATGAAATAACACATGGGTATCGTTATCAATCAAGGCCCACCACCCAGTGCTGGCACAGTGCAATCTATAACCTTAAGTATGTCCCTTTTGTGACACTAACCTCATTTAAAGATGCTTCTCCCCATCACTTGCTCTTATCCTCCTTTCTCCTCTAAATGAAAGGTGACTGTCCCTGAATGCTGTATAGGAGTGTGGGTTGTGCTTCTGCTGTCAAACACAGACTGCTACAGAAGGAATATGAACAGGAGAAGCACTTCGGTAAGAGAAAATACAAATTAGTTTGACAAATCTTTCTTTCTGAGAGCACGGATGAAATAGATACTTGCATATTAAAGTCTCAAGAGTGTCGGATGTCCATCTTTTTTCATTTCACTTCAAATTCTAGCTGAAGTATCCAGTGATATGCACTAATTAGCATACTATTCAATACCATTATACACAGCAACTGAGAAACACTTTGTAATATTAAATAATTCATATTACTCTTAAGTCTGTGTGTATATATGTCTAGATATAACAAGTGTGAAGCAAGGTATGTATTTTACACTGACAGATGGATACTAATTCTAGAATTGTAATTTGTTTTAGTTTTATAAAATGGTTAATATGATTTAAACAAAACGTTAAGTTTGAATTACCAGATAAGCAATAATGAGAGATGGAGCATGAGACGACTTCTCAGTTTTCTCCCTCAATGAGTCATGGTTTCCTTAGGCAAGGTTTGCACAACAGGTAACACTTATCCAATGCTTCTCACACCAGAGGCAATTTCCTCCCTTGCCTCACCTGGGGGGCAGGCATTTGGCAATATCTGGAGACATTTTTGATCTCCATGACTCAGGGATGGGCTGCTACTGGCATCTGGTAGATAGAGGCCAGGGATGCTACTAAACATCTCGCAATGCACAGGGCACTCCCCCAGAGCAAAATAATCCATTCCAAAATGTTAATAGTGCCACAGCTGAGAAGTCTGTTTTAGATAAATCTAGGAGTTTGGGGTTCTCTAAGCTTTGATGTCTCTCATATACTGCTATTCCACTTGTCAAGACCCCACTCTTCCCTAATTTAGCTTAACTTGACATTCATATAAAATGCTTGGCAAAGTATGTGGATTCACATACTAATATAATTTACCAAATCACAGAATCAGTCTCTGAATTTGGTTTTCAGTTACCTCAGCCCTATGACTACAAGCAATAAGAGATTTTTACAACACTATCCCATAAAGGCTTTTGAGTTTTATTCCATTAAGGCAACACTTTTGCAACTTGAGTATGTCACCTGCTTGCTTTAAATTACCCCATGCGATTAAAGGCACCCATCATGGTTTAATCACACCTGTTCCCCTTTAAATTGAACTATGGCAACAGCTATCTGATTCCCCAGAGCTTCCTCCTCAGTGAGTACATAGTTCCATATAATCATACAAGATAACTTGACTGGCTATTTTTCCATTGCATACGGAATGCCACTTTACCATCATGGAATATGAAAGAAAGTCTCTGCATTTTGTCTGACCTCTATGTAATAACCATTTCCCTGAGGACATGTTGCCTGCAGCCCACTGTCTGGAACCACTAGATAGTAAGCTCCATGGAGCCAGGGACCAAGCCTATCTTATTAATCACTGTATTCCCAGCAGCTAGGCTGTACTTGGCACATAGCAGGCACCTAGTTAATATTTGTTGAATTAATTAGTAAAGTCAAATGTCAATTCCTCTAAGAAACGTTTTTATTAAAGTGCTTATTACATATGTTTCTTCATCTGCTTTTCCTCCTCAACTAAGTCTCTCAAGACAGAGACCTAATAACAAAGATACTTAGTAACCTAGTTACCAAGGTACAGGAAAGACCTTTCAAACAACGCATACAATAAAACCAACATCCCTGCTACCATCGTCAAGAGACAGTGTGAAAGAACTGAGAGCTTAAGAACTTATAGGCTCTTCACATAGGGAAGTAAAACTGTGGAAAGGCTGAATAGCTTACGTTTCTAAGTACACACAGAACTGGTCTCCAAGAGATAACCAAACTGCTTTCACTCCTATCCTCCCCCAAAATGCCCTCTTGAAACGGCCTGAATTTTTTTTTTACATCCTAATAATGAAAGAAATTCTTTCAAATTTAAATTCATTTGAACAGGCATTCTTCTTTAAAATAACAATTATATCTGAAAATGTTAAGAGGTTGGCTATTAATAATCCACGTACTCATTAGGGCAAATCACTACAGTAAAGTTACTTTTTTTCTAATATCAGAGACTCTCCAAAACAGGAATGTAGGTAATTTTGGTGCAAAGAGAGCTTTGACAGGAGAAGATAGGCTTCGATGGACTGGGGCAATGTGGTAACTAGGGTAGTTAGCACCGAGCACTATGAAGTAGAAGATAAGCAGATAAGAGAAGTGAAAGGAGCTGAAGACAATATACACCAATTTACAAACTGCCTAAGATAGCTTCAAGACTTAGAGATCATAGGGCTTCCCTGGTGGTGCAGTGGTTAAGAATCCGCCTGCCAATGCCGGACACGGATTCAAGCCCTGATCCGGGACGATCCCACATGCTGTGGGGCAACTAAGCCCGTGCGCCACAACTACTGAGCCTGTGAGCCACAACTACTGAAGCCCAGGCGCCTAGAGCCCTTGCTCTGCAACAAAGAGAAGCCACTGCAATGAGAAGACTGCGCACCACAACAAAGAGTAGCCCCCGCTCACCGCAACTAGAGAAAAAGCCCGTGCGCAGCAACGAAGACCCAACGCAGCCAAAAATAAATAAATAAATAAATTTATTTTTAAAAAAAGACTTAGAGAACATCTTCGGCTCTTGTTTCTGCACTTCACTTACTCTCTGGTTAGTACTGTGGTTCACCTGCTTCTAAATTAAGGATTACATGATGGATTCTGGGAGGAGGATTCTTCTGAACATGAAGTCCACTAAATACCACCACTGTACTGCTCACTTTCCTTGCAGCCACAAAATTGTGCATGCCCAATGCTCCTGTTAGTAGAGTATAAAAACTGCTTAATTCCACTCAAGGGGAAAAAATCACTGACAAAACCAAACACTTTTACTAATTACTGTATTGCCACTCCATAAACACATGGTAGCTTTTATAGTAAAAAAAGAGAGTTCCACTATGCTGAATTACAATCACTTAGTTGAATGCTAAGCATAATTTAATTTTATTAATTTTGAGGGGATTTGTATAAAATCACTCCTTAATTTTACGAAATGCAGATTACAATACAGACTGCCATGATTTAATGCATAGCTTGTTTTTTAATTTTCCTTTCAGTCTATGTATATTTGATTAATAAATAATAAAAATAGAACCAAACACAGCAGTAGTTCTCAGCTTACCTACTTCCAGTAGAAAAAGTTTCCATTTCTCCATGGACAAACCAATGTTTATTGGGAAGTGTGACAAAAAGTCACTTTGTCTTTATACTTCAAAAAAAAAATCCTAGGGGTGGAGCCCGTCATGGCGCAGCTGTGTGGGCTGAGGCGGTACTGGGCACTCCTCACCCTGCTGGCATCGCTGCTCCTCTCCCGCTGAGGCGGCTGACGGAGAATGTGGCGTCCATGGAAGCAAGGGCATCTACTAAGAGTGAGGTGTTTCTCCAGCCACACACAGCTGCACAGACTTTTGCCGAGTTTCGAAGAGTGTGGGAAAATGCCGGGCCTCCATCCCTAGGTGGTGGTACAATGTCACTGACGGATCCTGCCAGCAGTTTGTGTACGGAGGCTGTGGAGGGAATGACAATAATTCCATGACCAAGGAGGAGTGTCTTGCAAAGTGTGCTGGTGTCACAGTAAACACCATCGATGATCTGTCCAGGAATGGAGCAGATTCCTCTGTCCCAAGTGTTCCCGGAAGGCAGGATTCTGATGACCTGTCCAGTGATCTTTTCAACTATGAAGAATACTGCACTGCCAAGGCCGTTCCTGGGGCTTGCCGCGCATCCTTCCCATGCTGGTACTTTAATGCTGAGAAGAACTCTTGTGATAACTTCACCTATGGCGGATGCCGGGACAATAAAAACAGCTACCCCTCCAAGGAGGAGTGCGTGCAGCGCTGCTTCGGCAAGCAGTTGTGTCCTGCCCTGGGCCGCACTAAAGCGGTGGTCCTGGCAGGGCTGTTCGTGATGGTCCTGATGCTCTTGCTAGGACCCTCCATGGCCTGCCTGATCAGGGTGGCGCGGAGGAACCAGGAGCACGCCCCCCGCACTGTGCGGAGCTCTGGGGACGACAAAGGGCAGCTGGTGAAGAACACTTACGTCCTGTGAATGCCCTGTCGCCAAGGGGCTGCCCTCCTCAATCCCCCGTTAATGAAGAGAATCTGGGAAGGGAGGGGAGACAAGTGTTGAACGCGTTTGTGCTTTTTCAAATAGAGTGATTGGTTTGTATTTGCATGATCATTAGGGCTTTTGGTCTGTCTGTTAATCCAGAAGGTAAGAGGGCTGCTCCCTGGTCTCCCGGGATGGGTTTGCTTTGGAAATTCCCTTAGTGAAGGGCTGTGCACGTTGCAAATGGTCTTAGCCCTAGATCGGAGTCGGTTCCTCTTCGATTTATTTCTTTGCTCCACGTATAGTTTTCTTAGCTTATGTTGAATCCTATTGTCTCCTTTCCAATCACAAAAGTAATGTTTAATAGTTTCCTTTGTTTGGTTTCTGTTTTGTTTTGTCTTTTTAAAGTAAGAAGAAACATGTTTTTTTAATTAGGATTCTGAAAGGAAGAAGTAAAATGTACAAGTTTAATAAAAATCGCCTTCCCTTAAAAAAAAAATCCTAGAAGTGGAAGGAAAAAGCAATCATTAGTTTACTTCCTATATATGGTTTGACTAACTTTTAGTAACCACAACCCCTATGTTCAGTACAGATTAGAAGAAATCTTATATTCAGACCATTTTAACGCTTCAGGGTATGTGGATTCTATTGGGAATAAACTTTTAATTTTTCTTTAATTGAAACAGTGTTTACTATTAAAAAATCACATGGCACTGAGAAGCAGAAAAGAAGATTTGAATAAATGGAGAGAGATATACTTGTGGATCAGAAAACTGGCCCTTCAGCCATCCATGCACTACGGACTTCTGCCAGAGGTTAACTTCCCTAAGCCTGTCATGAAATACCAACGGATTTCCTGCTTCCCTCAACTAGTCAACTGGTATCTTTGGATTTTCTCTTTCAATCTAGTCCACCTGCCATCATCTCCCTGCCTTTCGAATTGTATACATCACTTTATCCCTTGAGTTTCCTTTGCCTAAAAAGAACCCTTTCTTCACCATTTTTTGTTCTTGGTAAGATGCAGCACTTTTTTCCCAGATCACACCAGCCCAAGAGTAAAGTATTAAGTCTCCCAAATCCGTATGTCTCTGACTCAGATTCGGACTCTACCCGCACTTCAAGAGCTCCAGTTTCCCTGCAACAGCTTTGGGTGCCCCAACGGCTGCCTCATGGATGCTCTACAGAAAACTCCTCTTGATTACCCACTTGGTTGGTGCCATTTGCTCTTCTGCTGCTGACGTTCCCTGGCGCTGCTAATGAACAATACGGCCGTGGCCACCGACGGTACTATAGCTAGCTACTGGGACCCACCAACAGGTACCAGTCCTGATGGAACCTTCCGATGTCTGTGCCATGGGTCCTGTCCTCTGATACTTCCCAAGCCTTGCAACTGATGCTATTGACACTTTCTGTTGTCAGTGTTACAGCCACTATAATTCCTACACCATTTTCCACTTTAGCTACTATGCACTATCACGCTGAGTCTGAGAGTTGGGCTGTAGAACTAAATGCATAAGCCTCTGCTATACTCAGATCATCTGTCCACTACAATGCTGGCCAAATGTCCTTCAATCAAACATAGGCTCCTGAAAAATCTTCCCTAGTTTAAAAAATTAAGCATTTATTTATTCTGCCTTTTTAGGAAAAAATCCATCTCCAGTTGATAAAGGAAAGCTCTTCTTTATTGAAGAATGCTAGATAGTGATAATAAATGTAGAAAGAATGGTAGAATCAGAGAATCACCATTTGGCACCCCCTGCCCCTCAATGAAATAACTGATCCAGGCAACAACCATCAGTGGATGTCAAAAAAGATAAATAAATAAAACAAATATGGCAAAATGCTAGCACTTACTGAATTAAGTGGTGGGTAAATTCTTTTAATCTTCTGAAAAATTTTTTTCAATAAAAGGTTGGGGCAGGGTCAAGTCTCCCTTAACTTAAGGTGAGGTCTTTCTCATGAGGATTGGTGTTCCTTTATGTAAATGGAACCCTGGAGTCATCTACGCATGCCAGAAACCAGATATACTGACTTGTGAGGTGAGCACAGCTTCAGCCTGAGCTGAGAACCCTGCTACACTTGAGTCACAGTGCCTTCCTGATGCCTTCCTCTTTCTGACCCCTTCAGCTGTTTCTTCCCATCTGTCTTAAGGACAACCCTTGAAAACAAATATGAGTTTACAATTGCATAGTCACAACAGGGAGCAAACCAGAACCATCTGGGGAGCTTTTTCAAAAGATACACACCCAGAGCCTGACCTATAGATATTTCCATTCTTGGGTGGGCCTTGGGCACATGATCTTGAAAAAGTCTCCAGATAACTCTGATATACCTCTCTGAAAGAGAGGTGTTTCTCTGAAACTATACTTAGGCTTTTTCCTGAAGAATCTATACAAACGTCTCTGACTTACAATTTTTTGACTTTACAATGGCATGAAAATATGCATTCAGAAGAAACTGTACTTTGAATTGTGAATTTTGATCTTTTCCCAGGCTAGCGACGACACTCTCTCTTGATGCTGGGCAGCCACAGCCCGCAGTCAGCCACACAGTCACGAGGGGAAACAACTGATACACTTAAAACCATTCTGTACCCACACAACCATACTGTTTTTCACTGTCAGTACAGTATTCAATAGATCGCATGAGACAGTCAACACTGTATCATAAAATAGCTTTGTGTGAGATGATTTAGCCCAACTGTAGGCTAACGTAAGTGTTCTGAGCACGTTTAAGGTAGGCTGGGCTAGGCTATGGTGTTCAGTAGGATAGATGTACTAAATGCATTTTCAACTTACAATATTTTCAACTTATGATTTCAACTTAGGTTTATTGGAACATAACCCCATCATAAGTTGAGGAAGATCTGTATACATAAGAAAGGATGGGGGCAGATTTAGAAATTGAAAAGATAAATATCAACTTAGGAAACTGAAAAAAATTCAAATTGTTGGTATGCTAGTTATTAATGCTGCTCACTGATGTCTAATTCCCTCTTTCCTAAACCCAGAAAACTGCACTTCCCCTGCTCGTTTGAAGTTGGACCTAGCTGTGTTACTGGCTTTGGCCAATGAGATATAAGCATCAGTGCATGTGTCACTTCCAAGCAGAAGACTTCAAGAAACAGTGCACAAGTCACCATATCCCCTCTTCCCTCCCTTGGTGATGGTGGAAGCACATGTTAAGATGTGCTGAGATCCCTGGGTGACTATGATGAAAAAGCCCCTGTCATCCCAGGACATGAAATGGGAGTAAGAAATAAAGATTTTTGTGGAAAATCATGGAAATATGGAAGTTGTTCGTTAATGCAGCATAATCTACTCTATCTTGACTGATAAACCAGCAAACCTTCTTTCACGGAGCCTAAGCAATTTAAAGAGAATCAGTTCTGTCTTCATCAATGACTAAAAATTTACAGAGACGGTGTTGATAGAGGGAAACGGGGGAGCTTTAGGGTCAGAGCTACCTAAGTTTAAATCCGTGGTGTCATTGTTTGTTGTAATAATAAAAAATAGTATATAATGTCTGTGTAATATACAATTACTTTAGTAACCACTAACACTTATGAAGTGCTTACTGTGTGCCAGGCACTGTGCTGAGTGAACACTTTACATGGATTATTTCACTTATTCTTCCATAACTTGCCCAAGGTCAGAGAGCTAGGAAATGGTGGAACAAGGATTCTAATACAGGCAATGGAGGCAAAGAGCCTGTGATCTTAACCACACCTCTATCTGCCTCACTCATTTGCCTATTCTATAAATGGAGATTAGGTAATATGCAAAAAGGTAACATGAGTGATTACTTATCATGACCTACGGGAATGCAGTACTGTAAACAGACGGGGAGCACAGGCACAATAATCAAATGCTACATTACTATGCTTGCATTACTTAATGGCTAGTATCGAAATGATCACTGTTAACTTCTTTAAATAAAGGTTTTTTAAAGTAAAGATACAGTGTACAAACAAACAGCACCCATAAAATGCCCAATGATGCCCAACTGTATCCAGTAGCTCCAAGCCATTATGTCTTAAAGTCCAAGAAAAAAGTTTTCAAGAATAGTGAGAAGATATTTTACGCTCAGCTAGCCACAAATGATATGCTGGGATCATTCATTTTAATAACCTTATGTTCATATATCAATTGTTAACTACATAAGAAAACACCATTATTAAATGTGAAGCCATTTGTTCTGGGCCCTTTCTTCGTTTGTTTAACTTCCTCCTTTCTTTTGCTTCCTTATATAATACTGTAAGAGTACAAGTACAGACTTTCTACATAGACAGTCATGTCTTCTGCAAACAAAGACAGTTTTATTTTCTCCCTTCCCAATCTGCATACCTTTCACTTCCATTTCCTGTCTTATTCATTAGCAAGGACTTCCAATATGATGTTGAAAAGGAGTTGCCTTGTTCCTGATCTTAGTGGGAAAGCTTCTAGTGTCTCACCATTAAGCATGATGTTCACTGTAGGTCTTTCGTACATGTTCTTTATCAAGTTGAGGAAGTCCTCTCTACTCCTACTTTACTTGGTTTTTATGATTAATGACTATTGGATTTTGTCAAATGCTTTTTCTGCATCTATTGATAGGATCATGTGACTTTTCTTCTTTAGCCTGTTGATGTGATGGATTGCATTGACTGATTTTCAAATGTTACCCCATTTTATATGTAACTGTATATAATTCTTTTATACATTGTTGGATTCCATTTGCTAATATTTTGTTGAGAACTTTTGCACCTATGTTCATGAGAGATATTGGTCTGTAGCTTTCTTTTATGTAATGTCATTGTCTGATTTTGATATTAGAGTAATCCTGGCCTCATAGAATGAGTTAGGAAGTACTTCTGCTTCTGTCTTATGGAAGAGACTGTAGAGAATTGGTATAATTTCTTTCTTAAATGTTTGGTAGAAATCACCAGTGACCCTGTCTGGGCCTGGACTTTCTGTTTTGGAAGATTATTACTTATTCAATTTCTTTAATAGATAAAGGCC